GATTATGCTGCATGTCTATGTCGGCGAATGGATATCATGCTCTAGTAAGGGATGGATCTTTCTTGTTGACGAAGGCAAAGGAGGTAGGTTACTTGCCTTGGAATCTACAACTACTCTTTAGGAGCTAAAAGCTATAGTTTTAGAGGATTACAGAACCGAGCAAACTAATACGATCAAGTGCAGTTATTTACCTGGGGATTTGATCAACAACTTAGGATCTCCTCCTCTTTTCTTATCCAATGATCGTCAAGTGAAAAATTTTGTTGGGTACGTAAAGAAGAAATCGTCGATACAGTTGTGTGTGACTTTTAAAACTTTATTTGACTTTGATTTGAATAAAGAGCCCACAAAATCAGAAGAAGTAGAAGTTTTTTTGGGCGAAAAAGTCGAGGAAGCGACTCATGTTAAGCGAAATGTTGGCAAACGCTTACTCATTGATGCTCAGATTGATGGTGTTGTTGGTGATGATAGCGAGGATGGCTTAATGTCTGAAAATACAATACAATAGAGTGAGAAGATGGTTCGACCTTCACTAGAGAATGTTGTCAAGAAGGGAGAACGTTTTGAAAGCAAAAAGGCTTTGAAGTCAACAATTGAAATCTGTGCAATGAAGTACAACTTCGACTACAAGGTTCTTAAATCGGATACTACAAAATGGACTATACGCTGCACAAATGACGGATGCAATTGGAGTCTTCGTGCAACGTGTTTGACAGGGTCTTCGTATTTCATTACCAACAAGTATGTTTCGAAACATACATGTGCTCCTTCAAACAAAACAAAAGGTGGAAGGACAACTTCAGCAAAAACAATCGGCATGTTGATTATGCATAAGTACGAGGGTGTGAAAGAAGGACCAAACCGCATGATGTGATCCAGATTATGCGTACTGAACATGGAATCGAGTTGAAATACTCTTTAGCATGGGATGCACGTGAGTATGCATTTAACGCCATTAGAGGTATACCGGAGAAAAGTTATGGTAAAATTCCAAAATACTTGTACATGCTCAAAGCA